AGGGAAACATAGAAAGGATACACTGTTTAATTCCCACATGCTGGAAATTAAACGTCGCATTGAGCGTCCACTCCTCCCACGGAGTGAATGCTCCCCGTTATGCTCCTCTTGGAATATTTTCCTCGCGGTTGCCGATCGCAGGGCCCAAACACCCAAAATGGCAAGCGTCCGGCGACAATTAACGGCACAATGAAAGTTTTAATCGACAAGGGTTAATGCGTTTTAAAAAAAAATATTTGAACAAATGTTATTCTTGTTATCCTTTTTCTTGTCATAATAAATGGGGAAAGAGGCGATGGGAGGGAATTCCAAATTGGAGCGGTGCTGGGGCAATCGTCCGGAGCGAGAAGCGGGGTGACCTGCGGTGGTAGCGGCGGTGGTGGTGGTGGCGGTGGTGGTGGTGGCGGTGGTGGCGGTGGTGGTGGTGGCGGTGGTGGCGGTGGTGGTGGTGGTGGCGGTGGTGGCGGTGGTGGTGGTGGGAGCGGTGGTGGTGGTGGTGGTGGTGGTGATGGCGGTGGTGGAGGTAGCGGCGGCGGTGGTAGCGGGGGAGGTGGTGGTTGTGGTGGTGGTGGGAGCGGTGGTGGTGGTGAATGTGGTGGTGGCGGTGGTGGTGGCGGTGGCGGCGGTGGTGGGAGCGGTGGTGGTGGTGGTGGGAGCGGTGGTGGTGGTGAATGTGGTGGTGGTGGGAGCGGTGATGGTGGCGGTGGCGGCGGTGGTGGTAGCGGTGGTGGTTGTGGTGCCGCTGGCGGTAGTTGCTGGGCAGTGCTAGCTGGGGGACCTGCATGGCAGTGACGCACATTGGGAAGCCTTCGCACACTGATCGCGTGACTGCGGTCGGCCCCTACGAGCCCCTATAGGGGCGGCCTGATGAGGGACGAGACAGCCTTGCTGGGAGGGCTTCATCACCCCGTGGCTTCTTCTCATCTCTCCCGCTTATTCGTAGCCGGGCGGTGGTGGCTGTGCACGGGCTGTAATCCATCACTGCGGAGGCGAGGGTTGGTGAATCGCACAAATGTTGCGAAACTCTCTTCCCGCGGATGTTGAGGAGGAGGGTGCCGTACCCTGGCTCGCGTGGAGAAGGCGGTAGAGCAAAAATGCGGACTTGGCACGTTCGTTTGTTTGCATGTTCACCACGAGTACGTGTGGTTAATGCAGACATGATTCCTTTGATGTTTGAACATCTTAACACCCGTTTTATTGCCAGAAAGGCTAAACCCTAGTCTTATTTTTTTCATTCCAAATGTCCTGTCTCGATGGGAATAGCGCGTTTCCCCCTCGCTCGCGTGGGATTTCTCCGCGTGCTCCGAGAGTGTAAAACTCTCACAACCACTGACGAAAAAAAGGACGGCAGAGCTTGGGCAATTGTTGGCGTCAGCTCACCACGTGACCGCCTTCCTGCTCATCCGTGGTCCCGTGCCCCTCCGAGTCGCACCTCCGTCCGCGAGAGAGACGAGCGAAAAGCGGCGACGCGGCGTCACAATTTGTAAAGGGTCAATCCGTTCATCATATCCGTTAGCTCTAAACAAAAAGATGGCACTTTATTTATTTCCTTTACAAACGTTACTTTTATCTGCGCACGACGCCAACGCGACTCTGCCGGGAACGCGTTCCGAGAGGTCTGGCGGCCGTGAGCGGTCACGCCGTCGTCTCTGTCGCTTCGCCGTGGGGGCGACGTCTCCCCCCCCCCCCCCCCCCCGCGTGGTAAACGTGCTCAAATGTGCCGCGGTGAGCCTCGCGCAAACGTGCCCAGAACCGCGGCTCCGAGCGCTTTGTGCCTTTTACTTCCTTGCGGAGCAGCACAAAGAAGCCGTTTGTGCGTGGAGCATTCAGCGCGGCTTTCATCTCCGTTTATCCGCTCGGTGAGGGCACGCGGCAAGATTCGTCGCCACCCGACTCCCGAGCAGTGGGAAAGCGCTCTGAACACTCACGCTCATCCTCTTGGTTCTTTCGGTAAAGTCACCTAGAAGGGAAATAATACAATAGTAAAAATAAAACAATAAAATAAAATTCTCACGACGTTTCGGCCACAACGCAAGCAGCCGTCCTCAGGTGAAGAACAGAGCTGTCGAAAAGACAGCGTCCATTAGGACGTCCATTAGGACGCTGTCGTGGCCGAAACGTCGTGAGAATTTTATTTTATTTTGTTTAATTTTTATTATTTTATTATTTCCCTTCTACGTGACTTTACCGAAAGAACCAAGAATATGAATCACTGCAGTCTCGAAAGCTTTAAATCGAAACTCACACTCATGTTCACATTCCATGATGGATACTCAATTAAGGCTGAGTGGACCTAGAGGAGGCCCAGGACAGGTCCAGGTTTCCGCTTGTTTCCCGGTTATTGAGCAAGGCTGGGAATCTAAACTTAAACTAAACTATTTTTTTTTTATTTTACCAGGTAAGGCCCCACTGAGCTGCGTGGATCTCTTTCGGAAGCGACCTGCCTATCACAATTGAGAGCCCGACGAAGTGGCTTGTTATCAAGTGGAAATGTGTAGCAGCACAAATACTCTGAACGCGTGATGTTGATTCTAAATGTGGAGGGGAAAACCGTGAAAAATCCACGCGACCACAGTTGGAGAGAGAGAGCGAGAGAGACATGCAAGCTCCAAACAAACACTCACCTCCATTGGCAGCCACGAACCAGTGGTGACATTCCCACAATCCCACGGCTGGGCCCAGTCTACTTCGCAGGACAAGCACCGTTCCATTCCAGCAGTGTTACTCGTTTTATTGATACCCCCCCCCCCCCAACAGGGCTGTGAACCAATGGGAGCCCCGACCTGAGATCTGAGCTAACAGTCTTCCCATGGCGATCCACGAGCCTCGTGGCCATGCAGGGCCAACCGTTTCTGTCGAGAATTGGGGATAGGAAGGGGGGGGGGGGCTCACTTGGGGGTTTTTGCTAGGAGAGACCACGAGGAAGGGGGCTCATTTGGGGGTCTTGGCTAAGGGAGACCCTGGGCAGGGGGATGGTTTGGGGGGGGGGGCTTTGCCAGGAGAGATCCCTGGGCAGGGGGATGGTTTGGGGGGGGGGGCTTTGCTAGGAGAGATCCCATTGCTCATTTTGGGGAATTTTCTCCAGGTTGCCGCCTGTGGGTGGATGCTGCTCCGCACTGTCTCGACTCCCACGCGTCCCGACACCTGGGCTCTGTGACATTGCCATGCCATTTGCATGCCACCTGCATTCCCATTTGCATGCAATTAAAACACATTGATTGTCACACACGTGGTTAGATGCATGCATCGTGAGCTTTTGTGATTCGATGTTGACTCAGGGACGGATGCGTCGTCACACCCCTGCAACGCGCCGCACCAAATATCGGCTGTCGACTCTCTTTTTGAAACGAACTTCGCACTTCCGGTGCGTTGAACTTCTTTCGCACCGTACGTAGCCAACAGCGCTAATCGGAGGTGCGGGGGAACGGCAGCAAACACAGCCCCTTGAGCCAGTGGTGGAAATTCCACATTTCTGTGACAAGTGCCAGTACGGCCTATGTATTAAATTATGTGTACCCGTTCCCTTCTAGACCGGATCCAGTACAGTGATGGAGTGGGACTCTCTGGCACAGAGCTCATTGTCCGGGGTCGTTTCAATAGTCCCCTTTTATCCGGCGCGAGATGAACGCTGCTTTTGTCTCCGGCGAAAGCAGCGTGTTGCGTCAAAATCCGGCCAAGACGTTTATCCCCTCTGGCGCCAGACTGGGCCAAGTGAAATGAAAGAACGGATCACCGTGTAGCACCAGCAGCCCGTCCACTGGCTCACTCGCCAGCCTCCACGCCAACGCCTAGACGGCGTCGATCGACCCACCACCGAACGAGAGAAGAAGGACGAATGAATGAATGAATGAAAGAATGAATAAATGAAAGAATGCAAAGGCAGACTAAATTGTGTACCTGGCTGGGTTGGCACCACTCAAAGCTGGAATAGTCCAAAATGATTGACTGGTTGAGTGAATCATTTAGCAGCCTAAATGATTCACTCGACAGTTCAGCCCAACTTTGAATCCAGGATCTTGACGTTGTCAGCCCAGTGTATTGACGCAGACATGACGAATCGCTCCGCGATGAGCCACCGCGTCCAAGCCGAGGCCTCCGTTGTGGAGTTTTGGGTCTTTCCTCGCAATTCAATTTCCGATGGCAGATTTACAAAGTGAGCCGGGCAGGACATCTCGGTAGGGTTGTCAGGTGGCAGCCGGCTGTGAGATTGGCAACAGACCGGCAGCCGATGAAGCGGAGGAGGAGGATGAGGAAGGGAGGTCGAGGGAAAATGAGAATGTAGGACGAGAGGGGTCGGAGCAGCACGCCGGGTGGCAGTGGCGAGAGTTGGCGACGAGTGACAGACAGTGGGCGAGGCGTGGGGGCAGTGGCGGCACGGTCATGGCTCGTGGAGAGGGAGTGACGGACAACTGCGGTATTTCTTGTTTCAACTATTTTTTTTATTGCGACCGGCTAAGGCTCACTGAGCTATATGTGTAGCTCTTTCGGCAGACGCGACCTGGCGATCACAGATGATAGCTCGGCTAAGTGGCTTATCACGTGGACATTTATAGCAGACAAATACTTTAAACGCACGTTGATTCTAAATGTGGAGGGGAAAACCGGAGGTCACCGGGTTCGCAGTTCGTGGCGGCGTGCCAAGCTATACAACTCTGCTCCGTGCAAAGACAAATATTCCCCGTGTACCCACAGAGACTGCAGGGCCAGGTGCTGTGAGCAAGTGCCAATTTAAACCCCACAGGTAAACACTCACCCTCGTCCACGTATCCACGTACCCACACACAAAAGGCACCGCAGATTCCCACGTTCATAAACTGACGCATAGACAAAGACGAAGCTTCCCCAACCCCCGATAGACTCCAACACACTGCCGGGCTTCTGTTCGCGTGGACATTTTGAGGCGTCCAAACGCTCCAAAGGCACCTGGATTGTGAACGCTGGAGACGGAGGGAGGCACGGCCGTCAACGCTGAGCGCCGCGTTGTCTCGTGCCGTCCCCAGCTGGGAGCCGTCTCGAGCCTCGTGGACGACGGCGCTTTCAGAGGCGATCCCTTCAAGGGGGGCCCCATCGACGTACAGGTACCACCACCCCCCCCTTCTCCACCCATGCCCCCCACCCACCCGCTCCCCCCCCCATGTGTCACCCTCATTGTGTCAGCGTGTCGGCCGTGCGCACTCTGTTTCCCCTACCCTTGTGTCGCCTGTGTGTCGGCGTGTTATTCACTTCACTGTGTCTGTGTGTATGTGGTTATGTGTGTGTGTGTGTATGGTTATGTGTGTGTATGTGTGTCTGCAAGTGGGCAGCGGTCGTGTAGAGGTTGCCGTGCTGCGCTACAAACCCGGCGACCCAGGTTCGATTCCCGCTCATGGCCAAAACCAGCGACGATTACTTGAACCGGTCCTGGGCCTCTCCTAGGTCGACTAGGCTTCAAATGAGTACCTGGTGCGCCGTGTAAACATCGCCACTTGGGAAGACAAAAGTGGTCGGGCGTGGTGCTGGCCACACAAACCCCTCGTGCACAGTGCCGGATTATCCTCGTAGCAAAAGTAGCTACTACATACAGTGAAGGAAAAAGTATTTGATCCCCTGCTGATTTTGTACGTTTGCCCACTGACAAAGAAACGATCAGTCTATAATTTTAATGGTAGGTTTATTTGAACAGTGAGAGACATAATAACTACAAAAAAATCCAGAAAAACGCATGTCAAAAATGTTATAAATTGATTTGCATTTTAATGAGGGAAATAAGTATTTGACCCCCTCTCAATCAGAAAGAGTTCTGGCTCCCAGGTGTATTTTATACAGGTAACGAGCTGAGATTAGGAGCACACTCTTGAAGGGAGTGCTCCTAATCTCAGCTTGTTACCTGTATAAAAGACACCTGTCCACAGAAGCAATCAATCAATCAGATTCCAAACTCTCCACCATGGCCAAGACCAAAGAGCTCTCCAAGGATGTCAGGGACAAGATTGTAGACCTACACAAGGCTGGAATGGGCCACAAAACCATTGCCAAGCAGCTTGGTGAGAAGGTGACAACAGTTGGTGCGATTATTCGCAAATGGAAGAAACACAAAGAACTGTCAATTTCCCTCGGCCTGGGGCTTCATGCAAGATCTCACCTCGTGGAGTTGCAGTGATCATGAGAACGGTGAGGAATCAGCCCAGAACTACACGGGAGGATCTTGTCAATGATCTCAAGGCAGCTGGGACCATAGTCACCAAGAAAACAATTGGTAACACACTACGCCGTGAAGGACTGAAATCCTGCAGCGCCCGCAAGGTCCCCCTGCTCAAGAAAGCACATATAGATGCCCGTCTGAAGCTTGCCAATGAACATCTGAATGATTCAGAGGACAACTGGGTGAAAGTGTTGTGGTCAGATGAGACCAAAATGGAGCTCTTTGGCATCAACTCAACTCGCCGTGTTTGGAGGAGGAGGAATGCTGCCTATGACCCCAAGAACACCATCCCCACCGTCAAACATGGAGGTGGAAACATTATGCTTTGGGGGTGTTTTTCTGCTAAGGGGACAGGACAACTTCACCGCATCAAAGGGACGATGGACGGGGCCATGTACCGTCAAATCTTAGGTGAGAACCTCCTTCTCTCAGCCAGGGCATTGAAAATGGGTCGTGGATGGGTATTCCAGTATGACAATGACCCAAAACACACGGCCAAGGCAACAAAGGAGTCGCTCAAGAAGAAGCACATTAAGGTCCTGGAGTGGCCTAGCCAGTCTCCAGACTTTAATCCCATAGAAAATCTGTGGAGGGAGCTGAAGGGTCGAGTTGCCAAACGTCAGCCTCGAAATCTTAATGACTTGGAGAAGATCTGCAAAAAGGAGTGGGACAAAATCCCTCCTGAGATGTGTGCAAACCTGGTGGCCAACTACAAGAAACGTCTGACCTCTGTGATTGCCAACAAGGGTTTTGCCACCAAGTACTAAGTCATGTTTTGCAGAGGGGTCAAATACTTATTTCCCTCATTAAAATGCAAATCAATTTTTTACATTTTTGACATGCGTTTTTCTGGATTTTGTTGTTGTTATTCTGTCTCTCACTGTTCAAATAAACCTACCATTAAAATTATAGACTGATCATTTCTTTGTCAGTGGGTAAACGTACAAAATCAGCAGGGGATCAAATTATTTTTTCCCTCACTGTATGTAGTAGCTACGGGCCCCGCACTTTCAAGGGCCCCGCACTAAATGCTTTCACACTATCAATTCCGGTTGAGTGATTCTGCACTTGCTCTATTACTCTAGTACTATACTGCCTTCACCTTTTATGTTTAAAGTCAGCGATTTGTTGTATTATCTGGTTGTATAGCAAATGAAAAAATACAATTGCTTTACTATGCAAGTAAAAAATATATGTTTTCATTATTACGTGTTTGTTTTATTTAGGGCTGCTTTATAACATACAGTATTACATACAGTATAACATACAGTATGCTACAGGCCCCGCACTAGAACTGCTCTTGCGGCGTTCTGGCATCCATAGGTGCCACTCGCTAACAGCACTTGCCCCAACAGCCTGTTAAAGTCTATTGGGGGTTGAGGAACCTTTATCTTTGTTTACGTGTTAGTTTATGAACGTGGGAATCTGCAGTGCCTTTTGTGTGTGGGTACGTGGACGAGGGTGAGTGTTTACCTGTGGGGTGTAAATTGGCACTTGCTCACAGCACCTGGCCCTGCAGTCTCTGTGGGTACACGGGGAATATTTGTCTTTGCACGGAGCAGAGTTGTATAGCTTGGCACGCCGCCGCAAACTACGAACCCGGTGACCTCCGGTTTTTCCCCCCCCCACATTTAGAATCAACACGCGTTTAGAGTATTTGGCTGCTCTACATTTCCACGTGGTGATGATAAGCTACTTGGTTGAGCTGTCACTTGTGGCCACGTGGCTTCTGACACAGAACTACACAGCTCAGCGGGGCCTTACCTGGTAAAATAGAAAATAGTTGAGTTTAAGTTTAGACTCCCAGCCTTGCTCAATAACCGGGAAACAAGCGGAAACCTGGACCTGTCCTGGGCCTCCTCTAGGTCCACTCAGCCTTAATTGCGTATTCATCATGGAATGTGAACATGAGCGTTGAAGAGACATTGTACGGGGTGTGGTGCTGTACACACCACCCCCTCGTCAGGTGCTGTGCCGGCCTTATGGGTACTTTGCAACAGGCCACTTGACCCAACAGTCTACAATGGCCACGTTCGTTACTTTGTGCGAGTGTGTGACTTTGAGGGGCAGTAACGCAGTGCCCAGCACACTGCGTTACGAACCCAGCGAACCTGAGTTCGGTTCTCGCTCATGGCCAACTATGGTGACGAACCGGTTCTGGTGCCTCACCTCGTTCGACTTTGCCTTCACTGAGTACCTCGAGCGGTTTGTAAAACATTAGCTCAGGGGAGACAAAGGTGGCTGGGTGTGGTGTTGGTCCAGCCACCTCCCAATATGTCGTGCCCGCCTTAATAGATGCTCGCTTACAGCACTTGCCCCAACGGTCTGTTAAGGCTATGTGTGTGTGGGGGGGTCTTTGTCTGTGTGAGGACCAATTTAAAATGTACAGAGGTGAGTTCGTGCTGCGCTATCTGGTGGTCATCGACTCACGATGTTGGCAGTGCAAGGCTAAGCGTAAAGCGAACACTCCGGGCAGCTGAGTGCAAGGCAGAGTCCGCATTGCCGAGTGTAGCGATTGTTATTGAACGTTTCTTGACACTTTTGAAGACATTTCACATACCGAGCTTCGAAGGGAGGGCAATGGATAAGTCACGTGCCGCTGGTTTTGATGTTGCTTTGTTGATTGGTTTCGTGAGGTTGGTGGTGGCGGTGGTGATGGTAGGGGAGATGATTCCTGTTGAACTTCTTTTGCACCGTACGTAGCCAACCGTGCTAATCGGAGCCGCCGTGCCTTCACACCCCACCCCGCCCATCCGAGCGAGCGTGTTCCCTAACGGCGCACGGAAAAGAACCACGCACAATGTCTCATTCTTTGCACGGATCCAGTGTGTTCAATGGCAGGAAGAGGGGAGAGACAAGTGAGGGTGGAGGCAGAGTCGGAGGCTGGGTCGGGATAGGGAGCTGTGGGTGTTGCGTGCGTGCGTGTGCGGGGAGCGGTAGTCGAGCGGTCAGCGCCACGCTGCGCCGACAACCCAGCGGCCACCCGGGTTCGATTCCGGCTCACGGCAAGCAACTCCAGTGACGATTATCTGAACCGGTTCTGGGCCTCCCCTAGGTCGACTCGACCTTAAATAATTACCTGGTGCGGTGTGTAAACATCGCCACTGGAGAGACAAAGGCGGCGGGGCGTGGTGCTGGCCACCCACCCCGTCGTGTGCCGTGCCGGCCTTCATAGGCGCTCGCTAACGGCACTTGCCCCAGAAGTATGTTAAGGCTACGCGGGGGATCTTTATCATTGTTAGTGCGTGTGAAAAGAAGGGTTTTGCACACTGCACTTTGACCCTGGCCACCTAGATTACATTCCCAGCCGTGAACAACATCGGTGCCCAGTAAACCACAGTAAACCTCGTCTCGTGGAGGAGTACTACCAGAAAACTCGACGAACTCTCTCCGGAATCCATCTCGCCGTGGCCAGCAGACCTCGGACACTGCTGCCATCTCGCCCCTGAACGGACCGCTGCCACGCGCAAGGGCAGAAACATCGCTGCCAAAGTGCTGCCTGCACATGTTCTGGCACCTCTCCATAGAGAATTGATTGCCGTATCCGCTAGGCACGTTGTTATCTTTTTTTTATGTGGGCCAATTAATTACGGGAGACGATGGTGGCGTCGGCACGGCTCGCCCACAGCCTATACGAGGGCATCATTTATTTATTTATTTTGCATTGCTTGTCGAGCAGTTGAGATGACTGCATCTGCCAGTCATCTCAGTCTGTCAAAACCCATGGCGCTACCTGGGTCTGTTCCGTGACCTCCTTCCTGCCAGCGAGCCTTCGACACTTCACGTGGCCGCAAAGTGCACCGAGCAATGGGGGGGGGGGGGGGAGTTGCTCTGCACCGGTTAGCGCACTGCGCTTAGAACCTGGCGACCCGAGTTCGATTCCCGCTCGCTACCGAT